CCTGCTTTGCTTATAAGTCAAATGCTTGTAAGAGAGGTAACAATTAGACCCAACCCGTTACATCAATTAACATGTCTAAAATAAGTTATAACAATATATATAGTCTGCCTTCTGCGTGTGGGTTCCACATACATGAAATCAATCAATCACAATTTGAAAATACTTAGGGGGAAAAAATGGTTGCATCGGTGCTCAATGTACACAGACATTTTTTTCCTTGTCATTATTCCCTAAACAATTCAACATAAGAACTATTCACACGGCATTTACATTGTGTTTGGTATTATATGTAAGTTACAGATGACTTAAAGTATATAGGGGGATGTGCGTGGGTTATATGCAGAAACTACGCCATTTTATATATATAAGGGACTGGAGCATCAGGGGACCGAAACCCTCACAGACACTAAGGGATGACCATAGAGCAATTCTATTTTACTTTCTAGAGAACTTTTAGTTATCTTTTTTTTCCATTAAACAACCAGAAACTTCCCAGTGTCCCATGGAAAACTAGTTTCTCAGAAGCTAATGATGCTTTTTACAGAAAGTCTTCTATGCCTAATACAATTTGGGGGTGTAGAAGGGTAAACAAAGTTAAATCAGCTTTTTCTTTTTTCAGAGTCTTTAACATGCCAAAGTACAATCTGAATTTCTAAGAGGGAACAACTGACACAAAATGGTGTTCAAAGCTATTTCATTGTGGAACCTTTTTTCCCACGGTCATCCCTCAAGACCATTGTCTCCATAATTATGGATTAAGAAAATAAGCTAGTAAAAAACCTGAGATATGAAGACAGAACAAGTATCTTAACCTAAACAGTGTGGTCTAATGGAAAGAGCATTCAACTACTAAGAGTCAGGAGATACGAGTTCCACATTTAGTTTTGACATTAACTGGCTTTGTGACCTCAGAAAGAAACAACTGTCCTGTGCCTTAGTTTTAATCATTTGCAAAATAGCAATTATAATTACAGTTGCAGCCTTTTTCAGGGTTGAATACAGTTATTAAATTTATGAGATTATGGAACTGTAAAATTCTAGAGCTGATACAAGACCTCTGAGGATTCCCAGCATTACCGTATCAAAAAGGTAAAGGTTATTTTCAGAATCTATATTAAAATCCACATGTCCTAACTCTCAGCCCTGCAATTTCCCCCTGCATCACCACACATTGCACTCATTGTTTAAAATAAAAATTATTAACAAACCATCTGTAGAGGTAAAATAGAGTCTCAGAAAGGAACACAATTAAGGGTCTCAGAAAACAAGCAAAACTAAAGATAATCTTATATCTTAATTCTTCCATTTATCACATATACATATAAATACATCCAAAAATAAGTAAAGCTTATAAACCTGGAGGGATGGAAAGACAATGGCAGTTTATTACACAGTCACTTGAGGATGAAAGGTAAGCAATTCGGCGAGAATAATTTGTTTCTAAGTTCAACCAGTAAACTGATCCTGACATCATCAAAAATAAGACTAATTATCCACAGGTAAAGGAAAGCAAGTATTACTGAAATTAACGAGATGATCGAGGGTAGAGAAATGGACCACAGCTGGAAGAAGCTTGAGATAGACAAGGCGATTTGGTGACAGGAGCCTTGAACTGACCATGGAATTCACTGCTATGGTCAAAGCTTTTCATATAGTTGTGATACTAGAGTACAGAACTGTTTGATGCTAATTACCTAGCAATGTGCCAAAATGATGTACTTATTTCACCTGAAATATAAGAAAAGCCCTCTTTCCCATAGTGACAAATCAACAGGATAATTCTGCAATTCATAAAAAGAAACATTAACTCATTCAGCATAATAGCTTTACTTCCTGTGTGAAACACTTCAAAATATCTAAATGAATATATAAATGCACTTTCTGTTGCAAACTGTTCATTACTGAATCATTACCAACCCTTGTTAGACAAAATTTCTAATTTTTGCAATGTACAAAATCACTGAAGTGTTTAAAAGCTCTATCACAGAAGACAGTGGTGCTTCATAATCCACTATTACTTCAGGCAAATGTGCTTATGGCTGAACATAATACTCAAAATAACAACGTTCCCTAGACATACAATCCCTCCCCCACTTAATGGTGCTTTTATACGTTGACAGCAACATGAAATGTTACCGCTTTCCTGTTGGTTTTAACTGTCTGAGCATTCATCATTCACAGCACCACCTCAACTGTTACCTGTTGTGATGACAGGGTATCAACCGTGCCAAATGCTTCGACTACTACCGTACACATATCAGGAGAACTTTAACAACTTAGGTTTTTTAGATAGAAACTCCCTTCAATTCTCAAACAGCCAGAAAAGTTAGTCTATCTATTGTAACTCTACATACTGCTATAAAACCATGTTTGGGTGTCAGGTCAATTACTTCAGCTCATATCAAATTGGGCTGCCTGCTGCTGTATGGAACTGCATTGTGATTTAGGAGACATTGATTTCCAAAAGCAAGCTATTGTCGTGCAGATTGCTTACACTGTTGCTGGACTAAGGTACATCATTTGATCATTTTTACCGAAAAGAAAGGTAAGGAAGTGAAGTATATCAGATATTGTCTATGACCAGTGAATTTCTTTTGAACCTATCTGCTTCGTCATTTCAGGGTTCTCTCTCCTTCTTTTATATATAAACAAACATTTTTACATTAAGTAGTGTATAAATAAAACTTATGGTCTGGGCCAGACGTGGTGGTTCATGCCTATAACTCCAACATTTTGGGAGGCTGGGACAGAGGGATCACTTGAGGCCAGGAGTTCAAAACCAGCCTGGTCAACATAATGAGATCTCATCTCTACAAAAGAAAAAATGTAAACAATTAGTTGGTGTTGTGCTAAGGAAAGAAGACGGCTTGAGCCCAGGAGTTCACGGCTGTAGTGAGCCATGATCATGCCACTGCACTCTAGCTTGAGAGACAAAGTGAGACCCCGTCTCAAAAATAAGAAAAGAAAATGTATGGTTTGTGTATCTGCATCTGATATAAAGTCATACCTCAACAACGCAGTTCAGATGAATGAAGATTTTTTTCATTTGAATCATGAAGAGATCAATCTATTTACAAATATTATTTACTTCATGACTTTCTTTAGATGTTGATTTTATACATAGGGTATAGATGACTATTAAAAGTACTCTAGTAATTATCTGAAAACTGAAGACACCGGCAAGCACATGCTCTTAATTGTTCCAACTGAGAAAATGTTACCTCAAAGTGAATTACAGAAATATTGTTAGTCAACATCTGCTCAGAGCAAGTGACTGACATGCATACCTCTTAGGATTCATTTAATTTCCACACTTGTCCCCCACCAAATTTTAATAGTCACCTTGGCACAAAGCTGTGCTAATGACGAAATTCCACTGGGTCTAAAAGTCGTCTCTATGAGTGAAGAATAAAAAGTAAGACCATAAATACAAAAAGAGCTATTTCTGATTTTTTACAGTTCAGAGTTATAGTCTCAATTAATAAAGCTTAGTTTAATCCAAAATTACAAAAACACTGACTTTAACTTACCCTACTACACTTAACATAAATTAAATCCTATGTGGGGAAAAGTTATACTGCAAAAGGAAATTATTTGGAGTCTTACATCAATTTTACTTTGATGGCTAGCTCAACTGAAAATTTAAAAAATAAATTAGAAAGTTTTCCCTAGCCAAATAATTTACTCTAAGCCTAACTCTGATTTTTATCTGGAATGGTACATTTAATATTGTGCTTTTCTGTGTGCATTTATTTATGCTGAAACAAATTGTGATTTTAAACACAAGTTTTATTGCTGATTAGATTTTCTCACTCTTCTGTCATACTCTGATGGTTCTTCTGGCTTCAAATTGTCAACCACCTTAGGCAAAATCCACACTAGAATATCACACTCTGTCTCCTCAACACTATAGCGAATGAGGGAAACAAAGACTGTACAAAGCAAATCATTTTAAAAAAACTGCAGACCACCAGGATTTCGGATTTGGGTAATCTACTTAGATTAGCATGGCTGTGTCTTAAAAGGACAATTCTAAGACCACAATATAGGTCATGTTCTTAAGAAATAAAATAAGTAATGAAATCAATGTCAATTACACAAACTTTTTATATTTATATGATGCGAATAACAACTGGTATAACAGATTAAAGTTTTTGTAATATGCTCAGTCCCAGTATAAGCAAAAAAAAAAAAAGGGCACAAATCATAGATTCTTTTCAATCAGGTTTCAACGTAAAATATTTACACACACACACACACACACACACACACACACACGGTATGCAAAGTGAAAAAACAAGATTGGGTTTATAATTTTAGAATGAAGAACAACTTTAAACTTTCATGTGAGACAGAGAGGGGAAAAGATGGAGAAAGGAAAGGAGGGCTGTTTTGCAAAACACAGGGTAGACAGAATGATTCAACATAAAGGTTTTGCTAAATCAGGTTTAGATGGTAGTTCATATTCTTCCTGAAAGTACAACTTTACTTCTTCAAACCAAAACTTAAAAAAAGTCCCAGTATGAAGCCAAGTGTTTAAAACAAGTACTGCAACATCTAAATGTACTATGTTTTAATCAAATTGTGCCAGGAGAAACACTGTCCAATGCAAGTAAAGCCTAAAATCACTGCTTTGTCACACTTTTAATTATGACATGAATACAACTGTTAAGAGAAATAGTAGTATCACAAATGCCCTCAAAACGTACTTCTCTGCCCCAGAAAACATATCAAGCTGGAGGTCAGAAAGACACTGCCAAAAGTGACAATCAAAAAACACTGCTGCTTCCTTTTTTGACACCAATAATGCTTTAAGAGAAGAACTCCAATTTTTTGGACATGTGATCCTCAAGCTGTGCTGAACAAGAAAAGCCCTACTGGTCCGAGAAACTCCAGAACTTTATTCTAGATACTTACCTGCCCCTCCTGGACAAAGGGATAAAAAACGTCTCTGACCAAAGCAGCTTTGAAAGACCACTTGCAGAGAATTACCAACTTACCCATCAGATTTGAGTTCATGAAAGGTGTTGGGGACAAGCCTTCATGGGCTCCTAATCGACTGTCATTCAAGTGATCACTGTAATGAGGGCTGTCTGTAAAACCCTAGGGGGAAAAAGATCAGATTATTAAAGAGATTATTTGGCAGCCCGGCTAATTGAGCATAATGACACTCACCTAATTAATATACAGACTTACACATGGTCATTTCTAACCAGGTTTCCTGTTCATTATTTGGAAAGCAAACAGCAGAAGTACATCTTTTACTCCTTTTAAGATTTTAATGTCAAAAAACATTTTTTAATCGATCATAAAGAAAAGTGGGTTCCCGAAAATACACACTAACCATGAGCACCAATATCTCAAAGTATCAGCTCTTCTGATGAGATGGGGAGCTACAAAAATTCTGAAAATTTCTCAGTTGTACTAAATTAGGGAAATGCTTAATTCCCCTATTCATTCCGGCCCCCATACCCTAAAAATAAAGAGTTAGACAATTACAAGTTAGACTTAAAATATTAAAACGAATCCACAATCAATACGCTAGAAATGAATCCTTTCCCAAATGGCAAATATTCAACCAAAAGGTCTGGTTATACTAATTTTAATACTACTGTAGTATAACAATATATACTCCTACAGAAACCGAGCCATGTAAAAAAGAAAACGATTACTAAAAATCGCCAATTAAAATTCTTAAGAATGAAATTACAAACACCATAAAAACAATAAAGCTAAGGCTATTTTTTTACAGTAGCTGTTATTACATTTCTCCTTATAGTTTAAAACATGTTTTGTTTTTTTTTAAGCCAAGGGGAAAAAAGATAAAGTTTACAAATAAAAACAACTGTTACAAAATTACAATGTATTAAAATCTGTCCTGGTTCTCAGACTTTTACACAGTTTTAAGTACATCATCACCTTCAAAATCATACTCTTTTCTAAACAAGGCTTTGAACTTAATTAATTAAAACTGCAGGTCAAACCTATGTCTGCCAATTTAAAACCAACATGGTAAAGACCAGAAAAATGTATACAAGACCAAGTAAGAGAAAGAACTAAGCTGGCTCACAGAAACTAGAAACCACACAGAATCCCACAGGACTAAAAAATCATCAATCACTGAACGTTTATCATTACCCAGACTGCAGGCTACCATTTAAGAGGACATTGATGGGGGTGAAACAGGCCTCACTATCTTTGCAGGCAGGCTGTCAATGAAAGGGCTAGGAACCAAGGGCTAAATAACTGTCAAACTATTACAATTGCTTATAGATGCATGTCACAACTCCTGCTATTCTGTTTTAAAACTAATCTTCTGAGAACGCTACCTCCCAAATGAAGCTTTGTTTCATATTTATGTGATTTAGAATTACTGATACATTCAGGAAGAATGTAAATGTCGATCACGTGTGTATCAGTAACTGTATATTCACAACGTATGACCATGAGTAACCACAACCATAAGTCTTATCTGATATAGCCACTTTTAGTAGAACCTATATACAAAATAGAATGGCTCTTAGCTAAGGTAACTCCACAGAGTTTACCTTTTTTTTTTTTTTTTGGAGAAAGGGCCTTGCTCTGTTGCCCAGGTTGGAGGCTCACTAGCCTCAGCCTCCCAGGCTCAAATGATCCTCCCACCTCAGCCTCCCAGGAGTAGCTGGGACTATAGCCATGCACCACCACACCCAGCTAATTTAAAATTTTTTGAAGAGACAGGGTCTCACTATATTGCCCAGGTTGGTCTCAAACTTTTAGCCTCAAGAGATCCAATGGCCTTGGCCTCCTAAAGTGCTGGAATTACAGGCCTGAGCCACCACGCCTCACCCATTGAATTTACTTTTACTATTTAAAATAATACTAAGTGACATACCACTAACTCACATACATCTGGGTATTCTCTCTGCCATGCTTCTCACTGCCATTCTTAGGCACACAGTCAAAGTCAAAAGAGGGCATCAAAACCCTAAAAATGCTCACTTAAATATTGTTTGTCATCCTAAAAGAATATTACTCTAGAAAAATGCCAGTTAAAATGGCTTTCCGATCAGCTACATTGTTCACACTACATGTGAATGCTAAAGAATGAAAGAGTAATTTTGTATTCTCTCAGTTCTCTTCATTCTTGAACAACTAAAAGTAAAAACACTACAGTTTTTTTTAAAAAAAACTATTTCCTAAAGTACCACTATACAAATATATCTAAGTCTGAAATACATTTGTCGTGTCGCTAACTGACTACGTGCAATTTATCAACTTTATAAATTGCATGCAGTGTCTTTTATATCTTGCTAACCTAACTTTTCTCTGTTCCCACTGCTAATGACTGGGATTGTCATAGTGCACCAGAAAATGAGTCTATAAATGTTTTTCCTCAAAAACAAGCAAGACTTGTATATGAATCCTCAGGACTGATGATATCCCCATACTATTAATCCACATACCAAATATCAGTAAGGCATAATTTCTCTCATTTAAGGATAAAAATCAGGTATTTTCCCAGCACCTTACAAGTTCCATTTAGCAAATGCAACTTTGCTTAAAAGACACTGTCCAAGAGACAAGAAAGGAATAGTTCATTATCCACAGGTACAAACTGACGCTGGGAGAAGGCACAAAGAGACTTGCAAAACGGTTGTCATAGTTTCACATCAACTATGACTGTACACCAAACCTTCACTTCAAGGCCTGGGGGTGGCTACTGTTTGGGCTTATGCTTGTCATTCCTTTCATACAGTAACAATACCCACCCACAGTATAACTTTTGGTGAAACAAGATGAATAGTTATGAGATAATTCACAAATATTTAAATAAGATTACAAATCATGTATTTAAAATCAGTTCTAGAAATGTACAACTATGAGCATGTCAAGGTATCATGTAGTTGGCTGATACCTAGAGCGGTGCTTCTCAAATTTCAACATTATTAAGCAGACATCTTGCTAAAATGCAGATTAAGATGCATAAGGTCTGGGGCGTGGGACTTGAGATTCTGAATTTCTAACAAATAGGCGATGCTGATGCTGCTGGCCCATGGACCACACTTCTAGTAGCAAGAACTGAGACAACCTGGAATAAAGATCTCTTTCATAAATACAGAGTAAAAAGGTCTAGAAAGGCGACAGTCAGGCACCACCCCCTACCACTGGAACCATATTAAAACACCAGAAGCTTCTAGATAAGCATAAATTAGGAAGAAACCCCACAGTTTTAAGGAAAAAAAAAAAAAACTAAAGCAATTAGAATAGCAAAATATTTTTATGTATGTGGATTCATCCATGTAGCTTTTAAAGCAGAAGATAGTTTAGCTGTCAAATGGAGCTGCTCAATGAAAGAAATGGGTGAGCTGACCAGGAGTTTAAACAACATTCTTCTTAAATACCACAGAGAATCAGACTTGAAGCACGGGTGATCAAGGGGCAAAAGGGAAAAATATTATAACCCAGAGCACTCATGGATAAGAGAGAATAGCAGAGAACAAAGCAAAATAATGCAGTAACTTTCAACAGGCTGCAGAACACTGGCTGAAGGTGAACGGCCTAAGGGAGTGGTTGCAGCGACAAAAAAAGAACAAAAACCAAGCAAGCAATGGTTAAGGTGGAACCCAAGTGGATCAGACATTGGAACTGGTAAGTGAATGCTATTTCAATTTTGAAACATAAAGGAAGTAAATCAGGGAGATCATTAAATATAAAACTAGCACGTTGCATATTTTAAATTGATAAAAAGTTACTATGCTAATAAAAGGGGTCAAATCTGGCCCCTGGGGCTCCTAATTAACATCTTGCATTCTGTTCCTAGCTATTAAGAAAAATGAGATTTTTCAATACATGAGATGATATACATTATGAAGAACAGAGCAATACTATCAGAATTGTCTCTTATACTAGGCCTTTAGCACAATATGGCATTACACACAAAAATATCTCCAAATACACCCTAAACTATCACTGTTCCCATTTTATAAAAATGAAAAGCATTCAAGATATTAATAATTGATAAAATAAGTTGATGCATGACAAGTTTACAAAAAACATTAATTTCTATACTTAAAATCTGCCTAAATTAAAATCTAGTTGGCAAATCTTAAATAATTCCATCAGTGAATGCATACTTTATAAAAGCTTTGCTATTATAAAATGTAGTCTATAAAGTAGATTTCACATTTTTCTCTATGTTCATTTCCTGATGCAGGAACTGAGAAATGTTGGTTTTTTGGTTGTTGTTGTTGTTGTTGCTAACTTTAGGTGCATACTCTATCTGGCTTTTCTCCCCATGTTATCCCTCCCCACCCTCCCCACTCCCCGCTGTCTTTCCCTACCCCCACCACCAACAGAACTTAGACCTGCTACAGTATGACAAGAGACCTGAAGTGATCAAAGCCAGCTTCCATATTTAAACTAAACCGCACATAATCAATAAATTTATTTATTTTTTTGAGACAGGGTCTTGCTCTGTTGCTGGAGTGCAGTGGCTCGATCATAGCTCAGTGAAGCCTCAACCTCCTGGGTTCCAGCAATGCCTCCACATCAGCCTCCTCAGTGACTGGAACTACAGGTAACCACCACCATGTCCACCCAGTATTTTTATTTTTTGTAGAGATGGGGTCTCGCTATATTGCCCAGGCTAGTCTCAAATTCCTGGGCTCAAGCGAACTCATTCTGGCCTCCCAAAATGTGGGCCATCATATCTTTTGTTCTATCAAAGAGGGGTGGGGGAGAAGAGAGAGAAAGACAGAGACAGACAGATTGTGGGGGGGAAAGGAGGGGGAGGGGGAGGGGGACATAATGCAAGAGAGCATGTGTGTCGGAGAGATACAGAGATAGAGAGAGAAGATACCTAGTATTATTTACAAAATACTACTCCCCTCTGGTTGCTCACCTCAGAAATACCAGAATTTTTTCTTTTGGTATTTCTGGCCATTTAAAAAATTTATCTCATCCAATTTAAAGAGCATCATCACCAAAGGATCTCAGTTCAGAATACACTTACAGTTTTACAAACCTATGTTATTCCTTTGTGTGAAAATTAGTTAAAAAAAAATAAACCACTGTTTTTAAAATTCTACTTTTAAAAAAATCTTCAATTCTTTGCAATGGCT